TAGTTGTTGGTTTTTAAAGTATTCGTCGATTCAGGAATGATTTTGAGCCCAACATGCCTTTACACTTGCATTCAGGGTTTACGACCCGTAGCCTGTACAATCGTTTGTCCGGGAAACATCATATTTTCACGAATACTTTAATAAAAAAAACATGTATGGATCATTAAACTTTTGAATGAATACGAACTAAGTGGCCCAATTTATATACAATATCACTAAGCGGGCTTTTTCGAAGCTGACTGTTTAGACATTTCATCATCTTAACATTCGCGTAATTTGAAAGATTTAGAAGACCAATAGATAATCTTTCTTTATGCATACAATATGAACTATGTGTAATTTGCTATCAAATGAGTCAAAGAACGGTACTTTCCTGCATATTGTGTACACCAAATATTTGAATATATAAGGGCATCGAAGTCAATTTCACAGCTTCATGCTAGGTAAGATGTTATTATTGCGAAATTTAGTTAACGCGAGCAAACAGTCGGAAACTCATTTAAATACCTTCTTGTTGGCGCGTCAACGTTTAACTCGATTATACTATACAAGTTTTTGTATTATAGCCCAGCTTGGGTAATATTTAGAATTAAAAACGCATTTAATTTTTATTCATTCGAAATAAATTCTCCGCCTCTGAGCAACCGGACACTGACTGTGACATTCTGTCAACATTGGTGAATAACTTCTGCATGCATTTGTTCATACTTATTATATAAAAGCTCTATGTCATTAATTTCTTACTTTTGTACGCACTAAAATTTCATATAACTCCGCTAATATTTAAAATTTGTAAAAAAAAATCACAATTGCAATTTGCAGTATTTTAAAACGCCTAGGAAATATTTATTTTCGTTTTCGTATAATGCCTTCAACAGACTGCGCAGACTTTCGCGTAAGTAAGCCTAATCAGTATTATTCGAGGATGTTGTGTGAAGAATCATACTGCGTGTTAACACTCCAGGCAAATTCTCCGTGGTACTTTCACAGTACTTAAAATGCTTTCTACTTAAATCTTGAACGTATATTACGTAGGCGACTGCCCTATTAGATGTGTCTTGGGGTGTGGGCACCAGAACCTTGACAAATTCGTCTTCCGCGATTAATGTGAATCTAGTGGCTTTGTAGGACTATTAACAAGCGGGGTGACAGATATAAGAGTTCTTCTGTGCGATCACTGTGCGTCAACTTCGCAATCACTTTATCTAATAATCACCGTTCAAGTGCTTTATCGCCACCTATTTGGCAGGTTTCTGATTCTTGTTAAATGCGGAATAACTAATTTACATGGTACAAAATACCGTTCTGCAGTGGGCGGTTTTAATGTGTTCAGAATGTTGGCATAAACTGCTGAATATTCTGCCAATTTCGATTTGCTTTACAGTGCACTGTTTACAGAAACATCACTCACTTTTTCACATAGTTGTTTACAACCGCAGATTTTGGCCCCATATGAATTACATCGTGCTTTATCTGGCTAATGACGACCAGTAAGATACGAATTGCCATAGGTCTGCGGTAGCATAGCGACTGCATCCTATAATTACTGCAATTTCCTTTGTGCGAGTCACCGCTTTCTGCCACTGCCTCTGATGGTGTTTTCAAGTGAGGACCCGAAACGTAGGCCAATAGAGACCTTGTCCCAGCGATCGCTTCTTCTTCTGATCAATCTGCTTAACTAAACTAAGATCCTGCTATGAGGGCCAATCTTGTTATGCGAGATAACAACGGAGAAAATCGTCCACTCTCACCTGCGACATATTTCGACATATACAAAAAGGGATGTCAATACGTGTTTCATAGTCGGCATACCGCTACGTATGAATACAAAAATGGTATTTGGTCAAAACTAGCAAATCTTCATTTGCAAGAGGACAGGGATTCATGATTGTAATAAAAGAGCGAGGTCTCAAGTGATAGAATGTCCCTTGAGTGCTGAAAATATAGATTAATCCTCTACTATTGGCCAGGGTTATCGCCGATTATATGCTTATGTTATGCCGATGATATAATTTCAAAAAAGAAATACACCATTCAGATGTATTACGTGTAGGTTCTTTCTGTTTCCTCCGAAGAACATGCGAGAACAAACTTCCCTTCCCTTTAATAAGGGTGGCCGTACGATAAATCTAGTTAGAGGTATCGATAGGCGTGTCAAAACATCAACAGGAATGCCAGGATGTAAAGCAGGCGTGGAGAGCAGAATTTATTGGTACGACTAAATTTCACGATGGCTTATCAACTGCAGCCTGTCGTTGCATAACGCAATAAACAAGTGAGGAAGGTAGAGAGGTTTGAACTTTGACATAGAAAATCAACGTTAACTGCAAGGGCATCGTATACTACGCGTAGACTAATCAATAAAATGGTAACTTCAGAAGGCAATATATTAAAGAATGTGAGGGAATTAATACGCCGAAGTAGCCATTCGGATTACACAAAAGCCTCTTTTCGAGTATTAGTTCGGGCACGAACGGCTTGATTATTGCGCTACCTAGAGGCAGCCTACAAACGGCGGGATAAACCTGACCTTGCAAACAGTTAGACCACGCGGTGAATCTCAGCTTGCACTGGTAGACAGGAGCCCTTTTGATTTTCTAAATCCCTCGGCGTCTTTACTCCACTATTTCCTTTTCTATGTTGCGTTTTGAAGTTACCATTCTATTGGTTAGTCAACGCGTAGTATACGATAACCCTGCAGTTAAGAATAATCATATATGTCGAAATTCAAACGTGTGTACCCCTCTAAAATGTTATTTGTGATATGCAGCGACAGGCTGCAGTTGAAAAGCCGCCGCGAAATTTAGTGGTACCAATAAGTTCTGCTGTGCACGCTCACAATAATTTCATTAAGGGTAAATATTGCCTCAAATTTAAATACAGTACCTCCGCTAACTCAGGAAATGCCGAGGTCAAAATAAGAGTAGAAACTGTAGCGTTTTGGTGTTGTTATTTGTGTTTATTTATTTTAAATAAAGACGAAAAGGTCGTTTGATAAAGGAAAGTTCGATACGGATCTGTATATTAAATAGAGAACGGGCCAAATTTGGGTGACATCGGAGTATTCTTGATATTCAAGCAGTTCCCTACGCTACTAAAGCCTTCAGATCGAAATTATTTGTTTTACCTTATTAATCTGTTTAAGAAGATTAATAAAAGGAAGACTTTTCAACAAACTTTCGTATAAAAAGAAAAAATTGAATTTCAATATCCAGAAAATCGGGGAATTGCAGATAAATTATTACATATTGTGTTCAGGAAATAAGGTGCGATTCTTCATATAAAAATTCTATTTTTCAAATCAATAAAGTATTATGCTTAAAAATACTGAACTAAAAAATTTATCAGTGTGATTGTTTTACCAGACCGAAAATGCGTATGGTAAACGAATATATATTGAGTTCGCGCGACATGCCGTCACTTTTCTCTGTCATGCCAAACGATACCTATTTCTAAACAGAACTTATCCGAAGTTGGCATTCAGCGTATTCGCAAATTAGCAGCGGAGGGAATCCCGCGTGAGTCTTTGGCTATTATTTTCAATATTAGTAATGTCACTCTGTGGCGCATCATTAATGATAAAACGGTTCCTAAAAATAAGATAGGTTACCCAAACATTTCACAAGTAAGTAAGACGATACATTTCCTTCGTCGTACATTAAAAAAATTTCATGATACGTTCATTGAGACCATTCAACGGGAACATCTGCCGATGTTCTCTATAAACATCGTTAGGAAAAGCATAAAGGAATTAAAAATACTGCGGCGGAAGGCAGTGATTAAGCCATATTTAAGTAAAGTAAGTAAGTAATTAGAGAACGGCTTTTATTTGCTAAGAATTACATTGATTACAAGTCCTCATTTTGGAAGAGCATTTTCTTCTGCGATGAGGTTTTATTTTAAGACTAGCCTACGAAATCGCTCCAAGTCGTCATATGTGGAAAGAACTTTCCAAGAGAACGCACTACACCGACGGCAACATTCAAGAACTGTCGGCGGATGATGGTTTGGATGGCGATTAAATTCGGTGAGCGGCCTGTCTGGCGGTCAACATCCGACACCATCAACAGCAAAATGTTTATTGCAATTGTCAAGGCTGCTTTCGGCTACAGCAGCATAAGTCGGCGTCGAATGGACACTGTAATTTTGCAGGACAATGCACTTGTCCACCGCTCTCAAGAGGTACGATTTTGATGACGCTTGCAAATATAATCTAACATTTGAGACAACAACCACCCTCCGCGCACTTGTCCTCCAATCCATTTTCATCCCGGTCAAAAGTTCCGATTTGAATCCCATCGAAAATCTTTTGGAATAGTCAAAAGAAATTAGCACAAAAGCTAAGAAGACTCTTTCAATGCAGGAGAAATTGGATTTCATACTCACTAATCACATTTTACTATCCACCATAGACAACCTCGTCATGCCTATGTCTGACAGACTTTCTGCCGTTATTAATTAGAATGGACAATCAACAAAGTACTGCTTTTTGTATCTGTTTCTGTCCTTAATTATTTTTGCCCTTTTACGCGCCCGCCTTTTTATACGCCCTCATACGTAGCCTTTATTAACTTGGTTGTAATATAGGCGTTTCTCGAAAATGTGACTTCTGTCGAAAATTATTTATTTGTATCGAAGTAAATAATATTTTCTAACTCAAACTTTGCTTTATTTCTTTCACACATCTTTTATTTGCCGCCGTAGTGTTTAAGGATTCTGCGTTAAGGTTGTTTACCTGTGTTAGTTCATGACATTTCATGAGTTAGCACAGGTACTGCATTAACATTCTTATCAACCTTGATCGTGTTAAATGAAGTTTAGACAATAATGTGTTACCGAAATGTGTTTCATACAAGCCCACGATTAGCAAGAATTTGGCGAGACGTGTAGTATTTCAGGGCAACATAAGTATGATCCAAGTCCTCTTCCAAGATTGCCACGTGGGACTTCACAAGCAACGTAAAAGTATTGACCAAGTAAAAACCAGATGCTGTGAGTTCATGGGCGAGATCAGTACAAATCTGCTCCTGCATAGGATAGCTGAACAAGCCCGCGAACAGAGAATGATAGGCGACGCAGCACTGGAGAACAAATTTCGAAAGCTGCCCAATCCAAAGTCGCCCACAAACAACAAAATGGTGCACTACCTTTCGTCAAGGGAGCTGACGAAGGATCAGATGCTGGTTTTACGCCACGAAGATTGTCACACGGAGGCAGCTGAGGAGACCGAGAGCCTCATCCGACACCAAGTGTCGCCTCTCCTAATGGCCCACAGGTCGCGGGAAGTGCTTTCCAAGGTCGAACGTGATGCGCTTAGAGATCTCAAGGCCGAAAAAGACCTGGTCATCGTGCTAGTGGACAAGGGGCGCTCCACGGTTGTACTGGACAGGACCGACTACCTTCAAAAAGCCGGAGGTTTACTGGAGGATTGACAGTCCAATGCCCCATGTGCAACGAACCATTTAAAAGCGCTGACATACAAAATTATTGCTATGTTGTTGGTCTTGGAGAACTGAAGTGCAATAACACCGACCGACAGACGCATGGCGAGATCCCAAGATACGGCTTTGACCCGATCCTATGGTCTCCCTAAGGTGCACACAGACGGCGCTCCTCTCCGACCCATCGTGTCACCCAAGGATACTCCAACGTTCGGACTGGCTAAGCGGCTGTTCCGGCGTCTCAAATTCCTGACCGATGAGTCAGACACCACGGTCTCTTCGTCAGCAGAATTCCTGGAGAAACTCAAAGGGGTAAACCTCCATCCAAATTAGGTCATGGTATCCTTTGATATTACATCCATTTTTACTTCTATTTCCCAGGACCTGGCGATCGAGGCAATCGAGCTGCTTCTACAAAGTAAATACGATCAAACGGAGAATCGTCTTGGACGCGCTCAAGACCTTCAGCTCCTGAAGTCCTGTATCAGGAGGTACTTCACCTTCGAAGGGACAATCTACGAACAGGTGAAGGGCACACCAATGGGTTCACCGATTTCGGGATTCATCGCCAAAGCGGTCCTGAAACGTTAGAGTTGCTGGTCTTCCAACACCACAAACCGAAGATCTGAGCCCGGTATTGGGGTGATAACTTTGTCGTTATTGACCGGGATCAACTGCTGACATTCAAGGAAAGTCTTGATGCGGTCTTCATGGACATACAATTTACGATGGAGGAGGAAGTGAACAATCAGCTGCCCTTCCTGGATGTCCTTGTATGCCGCAAGGATTGTGATGGACTAAAGACCAAAGTGTTCAGGAAAGGGACAAATACGATGCAAGTACTGAATTTCAATAGCAACTACCCAATCAGCCACAAACGCAGTTGGGTATGGACACTCTATCGGCTTGTCGAAACGCACTGCTGTGAGACGGAAGACAAGATTGCCGAATTGCAATAACTCCGAAGGGTATTCAAAGCCAATGGCTACCCACGAAAATTTGTCAACCGGTGCATACGCAAAGGGGACAAAGGCCTAACTGCACGGACACCAAATCTTGGCAGGCGCTTCCGTATGTCAAGCACGTTTCGGAAGTTGTCGGCCGCCTTCTCGCACCACTTGGGGTTGGAATTGCACACAGACCGGAAGCAACCATCAGGCGACTGGTCATGAAACCGAAAGACCCGCTGCCTCGGCTAGAAACGTCTGGAGTCGTTTATCGGATCTGGTGCAGTTGCGGACAGAGTAACCACGTCGGAGAAATCGGAAGACAGCTCCGAACGAGAATGGCCGAACACGCTGCAACGGTGCGGAGTAATGACGCCAGCTCTTGAGTTACGACTCACTCGCAGAGATCTGGCCACACATTCAAATTCGACGAGACGGAAATTGTCACAAGAGGTGACACTTGCGTAAGCCGGGAGCTACTAGAATCATGGTTTACTGGCCCCCAGTCCACTAACAAGTGTAGTGAACTTCCCCTTCCATACGCGGTGCTGAAACTTCGCCTAGGCGGAGTAATTAGCCACGCGGGAGCGCACACGTGAACACTTGTCCCATCACCAGGGTCGATGCGTCAGATGGTCGAGCAATCATCATACCAACATCCAACGCACGTGATGGAACTGCAGCAATGAACGACATGTATGTTGACCATCATCAATTATCGCACCAGGTGCAACAATACCGGATGAAGGGGACAGCCGTGAATGTTCATAGGTATGCGGTAGCATGGCGACTGCATCCTATAAATACTGCAGCCCCTTGTGCGTGAATCAATCATATCTGCTGTTGTCTCTGATGATGGATTCGAGCTAAAATCCGAAACCTCAGGTTAATAATGCTTTGGTCTCAGTGTTCGTGTCTCCTTCTTCGAGACTCCTTCCTGGGAAGTGTCTCTTCGCTTCTATCGGCAATATTCCGTATTTGCTCACAAAGCTACTTACCTACGTTTATCGGCAGCTCCCTTGCTTACCACCGGGACTCCAGGTGGCTGCTTTTTATTCCGCAATCCAATTTGCAACGGATGAAATGTAGTCACCTTTTGGAGTCTAACCGTGATAATTACTCGGCCATTTGACTTAATGTTACTGAAGTTGTCGGTAGACATTGACTTCCGCGCAGGGCTACTTCTTCTACTCAGGTAAAGTCCCAGTACAGGACGTCTGGCCGGAAGTCGATATGCTTGATGCTCAACTGGGTCCAGCGGGTCAGGTATTAAGCACCTCGTAGCTCACGCGGGTGGCGTCTCTTGCAAGAATGTTGGCCTCACCAAATTTTGGATGAAAGGGAAATATGTGTTCCAGAAAGCAACCTATGAGAATGATGTTTAATCATCTGATTCTGCATAAATATGTTATGTTGTTGCATTTCGTTTTATAGGCAACTGACCACGCTGGGAACGAGTGCTCGAACAGGCCACACAATATCTGTCGAATTTGTGAGGTTTTATCTCACAATGCTAACGCCAAGTAAGTCTTATTTAAATTTCATCCATCATATGTTCTCTTTTATATGCCTTGTGAAATCTGTCTTGTCATGCTTAGCGGTGTATAAGGACAGTATTGTTCTCGGCACTCTTGGCATGCATATTTATATCTGACAGTCTTGAAAGGTCGAGACATTATTTCTGCTCTTAATTAATATTTCGCTTGTTAAAGGTAGGAATCGGTTGGGTTGCGCTTCATATCACAGATCGAAATGTAGGAGGTTGTATGTGGAGGATGGCCTTGTCGTCATCAAAAAGGATCAGGTAGTGGCACTCAACTGGATTCACCAGGATAAAAAAATTACGACAGTTGAGAAAGAGAACAAGCAGGCTGTCATTATTGGCGTCATGGTCTGTGGCAAATACCGGGGTCCCCTAAGAACTATGATTTTCAGTAAAGCGGCCAATATGACGCCAGTAATGCAGTTTAACAGAAACCACCAAATCAGTCACATACGTAGTTACCTAGACGCGCTATAAAGTCGCCTTGATACAGAGTACAGTAGTTCGAAAGAAAAAAACAAACACAATACAATGTAATTGGTACGCGTTTGAAGTGAATGCATACTCAAGCACCTTCGTCAATCGATGCCTGCGAGAAAAGGACGAGATACTATTTTGTAAAGCTCTATCGTACATAGAAGCAAACTTTGTGTTCCAGAAAGAAACATATGGGAATAATGTTCAATCACTTGATTCAGCAAACAGTATCGAATGTTGCCGCATTTCATTTTAAATGTAGCTGACCGCGCTGCGGACGTGTGCTTGAAAAGGCGACACAATATCTGTCGAACCGTAATATGTGTTCATGAGAAACAAATAAATAAAATGAAATAATTATATTAAAGACCCATCGGCGTACCTTCGTAGCAAGGAAAATGAAATGTAACTTGATTATTCAACTTACCGGCAATACTGGCGGTGTCGCTTTCCACAACGACAGTGGCTTTTCTCGTTTGTCGGCAAACACTCTTTGAAGGCCTAGCCGACCTCATGTTGTAATTTTTAACCGCACTAGAAAAAAAGGTTGACGTTATGGGTAACAGGAAGTGCGTGCCTCCTTTTTGCATTACCACCTCGACCCCTTAGTTCTGAAAAACCACTTGCTATGTGAACTGTGAGGTTGTGGGTCCACGAATATTGCTACCGTAAGGGAAGCTTTTATTAATTATTGTAAGCCACAAAGTGCATGCCTAGTGTTCAGCATTTCAACTGAAGCAAAAAACCGTCTAAAGGGAGGCAAGAAACCTCCGTAAACGAGGTCGACAGGTTGGTGCAGCAGTTACTACTATTTATAATAGCTTTCTAAGCGGAGAGATTAAAAAAATTATTGGATACGCAATTTATCGGTCAATATTGAGGACGTTACGTAGAATACATTATAACGTATTCAAATGAAATAAGAGGTTTCTAACACATATGTGGTTTTCCACTAGGGTCAATGCACCCGTTAACGAGGGAGGTTTAAACTCCAAAATTATTAAACACTTTTACTGCACTTAGCAATGAACCACGAGTGTACTAATGAGAGAGTCTACGTGTATGGGGCTCCCTGAAGTTTATTATCTGTGAATCTATCTCACCAAGCCCTCCAGCTACTCGCGGCTGAGTTACTGATAGTTAATCTCGGTATTTTACACACTCTTTTGGGTGTCTTTCAAAAGGAAAGGACGACAATGGGTCGCTACGTCCTTGATGGGACTGATTCGAACTTTGTTGTAATCGTTCGATTTCGGGGTAATAAGTGTATTGGGGATTGCTGCATAAAAACTGTTGCCTGTAAGTTTAAAGAACTAGATTCGACTCAATTGTGCGATCAGCCCGTAAATTCACAACACGATGTAGGTAGACTACGGCAGTTACTTTTTTATGCTGTTTGCAAATCTGAAAGTACTTACAAACTGGCCAACAACTGCCCTGCACAGACTGAATAGCTATTCTAAACATATGCAGTCGGCAACTGAATGTTTTCCCCTTTTTTTCAGATTTTGCAGAAAAGGGGTGTTGTGGCATCTGATTGGTGAGCAAAACTACACATTACGTGCATTGATTATCACTGCTAACGTTTGCTTACGCCGCCACCATTGCGTGTGTGTGTGTGACGGGACGCGTGTTTGCTGAGGTGATTTTTCACATTCATTTGTGTACGTATCTAATCCCATTCTACACCAAATGCTGTGTTTACAACGTCAAGACATGAAATTAAACGCAATTTTGTTGACTTCTGAAGAAGTTGATAGAGGAAATGTTTAGGGTTATAGTGAATGTAGCAGATCATTATTATGTACGCTTGGGCCGAAGTAGACTGTTTAGTTATTGCTAATCAAGGGGCATATTTGAGAGGGATTTTGTGATCTGACTCGAAAAGCAGATGACTTTGTCAAGAGAGTGTTTTATCGATACGTAACTCGCAACTCACGTAATCACCGCCTTTCGCAGAAAATTCGGCCCCAACGCACTTGAATATGTGACCGCGGTACATGCATTTTCATAAAGCTCACGCT